ACCAATTCTACCTAAATGAATTCTGAATTAGAATATTCTGGTGTTTTCTACTTGGGGTTCGTTGCTTTCCAGTATCAAAAGACAAAACTAGAAAAGCAACATAAAATAATCAAAAATACAGAGAAACTTCAACACTTCTAGTGTCTGAAGGGAAAGGAATTTTCATGATCTAGCCTTTATTGTAGAGCCAGGTTGGGGCTGCCTAAATTGCAGTGTGAATTAGAACAGTTTCCAGGTACGATCCCAAGAGGCCACAATATCAGTGGCTGTTCTTGGTTTCCTTGACTGCAGAAGTGGGAAAAGAGGAGAATTGCTATGCCATGGATACAGCAAAGAGAGAGGTTTTTCTTGTCACAGACCAGGGTAATATCCTCTGTAAACATTTAATTTTAGTTTATAACCTGCGTGCGCTGACAGAGAACGGGACTGTAAGAGATCCAATAATTCTGTTCTTTGTCTATATGGTAGGTTATTACTGTTACTACTTTATCAACGTTTTCACTTCTGTTATATAGAATTTGCACCATGCAGGACTGCAGGGTAAAATCAGACCTCTCTGGAAAAAGGGAGAATTGTAGTCTGCAGTGTTAAAAGTCACTGGTTCCTACCTCTTCCTGATGCTACCTGATACTTTAATTTGTTTAGACCATTGTATATTTACCTGACCTGTGAGAGCAAATAATATTGTTCTGATATAATACTGAACTGCACATCAGCCTCAAGCCTTGCCACATTTAAATAATTGTTGATCCCTTGGACCTAGTAGCCAAAAATTTGTTCCTGTAACTTAAAAGAAATACATAAAGTGTTCAGTATTCCGTTGCTTTTTGTGAGCACACATGCAAAAAGCAAACTTGACACACCTGTGTAATCACAGCTATGAGACAAAGTTCAGATTTGCTTTTGGGAGCATTCACAGCATGAAACATAATCAGAGGACTTACTGCACACCTAGTCAGGGAACAGAAACAATATGATAATAGAACAATTGTTTAAATTTGAAGTAGGCTAACCTTAGAATTTTAAATACCTACATAAATGTCACTGAATTACAAATTAAGGCAAATTTATCTGTTCATGGACATAGATGGATGGATGGAAAAAGAGATTAAAACCATGTCTCTGAAATGTCTGATTAAGGTGAGGTTCTACCATTACCGAGCACTACAGCATGGAAGCTCGGTAGATCCTTAGCAGTGGTAAGAATATATGAATATCTTCCCCATCACAAAATGGCTTCTACTGTGGTACCCTGAACTGCCAAATTTAAAAGGTCGGGCACAGAAAGGGATCTTGAGAGAAAATCTTCCTGCCAAGGCCCTGTTGCAACAATCAACTTGTTGGCAGTACAGAGAGATGCTCCAGTGCAACAGTGTTAATTCTAGAAAATTTTAGTTTGTGATGGATTTGGTTAGCATCATATGCATTAATTTATTGAATTGAGTGCTTTAAATGATGTAAACTATATTTCCTGTAGTATTTGTTTGAATCCTCTCCTGTAAAATAAACACTAGAGAGGGCAATAGCCAATATTCTGGTCTTCCTTTACTCATATGACATCCAAACTAAAAAAATATTCTAATGTATATATATGTATCAACAGATATTATATATCCAAAAGAAATCATATTTATTAACATTCCAGTATTTGAATTATATTACTTGAACTGGTAATATTCAGAGACAAAACTCTTCACTTGAAAAATCCAGCCTAATAGCACAAATTGTATTATCTTCAGAAAGATGTTCCCTTAGCTGGTAGGTAAATATCTTTTCAAGTCATACACACATTTCTCTTTTAAAGGAAGGAATATAATAACCAGGTGCGTACCCCTTCTGAACAGCAAGCCCTCTCAGAGCTAAACACCCAGCTGGGCTTTTGTTACTGTGCCATGACACTGAATTGTAATCAATTCAGCTCCACTGTGTTGTTTCCTTCCACAACACAACTGTGTCAACTGTATTTGTACATCAACACTTGCTATGCTGCCTAATTGTATTTGTGTTCGTGCCGTTTATGAAGATAAAGGTGTCTGGGCAAGGTTTGAAAATATAGAAAGCAGGCACAGAGAACCAGTAGAAACACACTGGGAATGTATGCCAGAATACTGCCTGGATTACCAGGAAAAACTGATAAAAGATTTGGATTACTGGTACTGTTCTAGTGAAGCCTTTCCAGTGCCATGACCAATAACATTGCTGAGATACTCCGAGGAGGAAGCCAGCGCAGTCACTATCAAGGAAAACAGGGCTGGGAGATAGGGAATGGCAACTGCATTATGACTTACAAATATTTATGGTGAACCATGAAAATATCTTCATAATTAACTAGTAAAGCTTGGTTAAACATTACATTAAAGACAGTAAGAGTGGGATTCATCTGTGCAGATTTAGCATCTGCATGTAGGTGGCTACCTCAGAGCTGCTCACTCGGTGCTTCCCTCGGAGGCAGTGGAGAGGAGCTGTCATTTCCAGAGGTCAGCTCAATCTCACACTGACATGGCAATCAGAAACTGGTCTGGGTAACTCCAATGAAGAAATCTCTTTTTCTTCCACCAGCTAAAATGGAAGCCTTAATGATTGCTCCATACGTGCATGTCCATGTTATAGACATCTGAAAGTGATGGGAATAATTCCTTCCAATTGCCAAGTCCAAGCAATTGCTATGTAATAAATCCACTGTAAAAATAACAGATTAAGCAATTGTAGTTCCTATGAAATTATTATTTACTTTCTGATCATTATTCTTGTCTCATGTGAGCAAAAGGAAGAATTTTTGGATTTGCCTCTTTAAATTTTTCTGTTGGCCAAGATGTTGCCTGGTAATCCAACAGGTTATTTCTGCAATGTAGAATCATGTGGAAATGTTATCACATTTGTCTTTTTGATGTGATGGCTTAGGAACAAACAACTCTCTAATATAAGGGGCTTAAGGAGAAAACAAAAGGCAAATAGGATTTGTTGGGTAAAACTGTGTTCCCTAATGATTCACTGGGTGTCCAATAGTACATAATAAAATGGGATTCTGAGGGGAGTTGAGCTTTTGCTGAACCACAGAAAATGCTCAGAGCTGAAGAAGTAAAAAAACAACAAACATATGAGACTGCTGTCTTTCTGAATGTTTATCATGTGTTTTGTTAAAATGTATTTAATAGTAACCAATGTTTGAAGTCTGGGTAGGATGGAAGAGATGGCCCCATCACTGATCTGTTCCTTCCATCCAACTCCACCAGTGCCCTTCAGTGTTAAGGGAAAGCAGCAGTTCAGAGAAGAGTATTTCCTCTGTAGCCTTCATGTCAAGGGTTAAATTCTGTCCTTGATTCCACTTGAAAGCTAAAACAACTTAAATTGATAATATGTATCAACTCCTGAATCAATAGTAGAATAAATCAAACTGAATTTAGCCCTTCTCTCTCATCTTGTCCATTCCACATACCTTAAATTGCCAGGGAACCTTGCAAAGAGAATCAATTTTGGTTGAAACAATATTGTTTTTCCCAACTGGCCTTATTCTTTCATCATATAATAGTTTAAATTTGGACTTCCTAATCACCACTCTTGAATTCTGGAAAATTTAATAAAAATGTGAACTTTGAATATAACATACAAAATAGAAGCCATATTATCCTCTCAAGGTAATCTGTTATAACTAGTAATGGATGTGGATTTATTCTGGATATTTTGGGATCACAAAGAACAAAATTTAGCCTTCTTTTTAAATAAAAATAGGATAATTCTCTCTAAGTGTAAATATGATTTTATGCACGTAGGCCAAGCTTTTGATTTTTAAGGGCCTTTGAGTAAGTTTTCTCTTAGATAAAAGAAAATAGTTGATTGCTTGTGTAGAAACTGTTACTGCTGAGGGTGGGTACTGTCAACCTTAACTTGGGAATAACACTCCCATTTTCTCAGTAAAAAAAGCATCATTCAAATAACTGATAATTTATGAATTTCAGTTTGTGATGCAAGCAGAGAATTAATGAATTTGTTATTGAGCCTCACTGTGAACCTCACTGAAACCAACTGTAAAACTGTTCAACTTTGTTGTTCCTAAAGGCAAGGGAGAACCTGATTGTTGAAACTGTGTGTGCTGGGCTCTCTCCCACTGAAATAAGTGACAAAACTTCCAGCGACTCCTGTGAAGGCAGGACCAAAACTTTAGCAGAAGTAGTCAGATTCATCTCTCATTTTCAGTTACATAAATCAGAAGATTCTCTTCTGAAATGTGATTTAACCCAAAGGAATTGAAAGTATTTTCCCTTAATTCATGGAGGGGGAAAGAGAAAAAGACATTGCTCCCTTGTATTGCCTCACCCTAGTGTATCAACCGAGGCTCTACCTGCTGTCCAAATCCTTATCTGCTTAAGCTGGAGAGGAAGAGCTGACTTCATCATTTAAGGATGTGAGCTTTTATTACCTACTGAATTTTCTGTTATCTTTATCCCCTTCCCCACTGCTTAGCAGGTAGATTCCTTAAGAAGGGACAAATTTTTGTTTCTGTCTACGCTTCTTCAAATTTAACATACCTTGTTCCATCAGTGCATAATCAGAACTGAGACAACCAGAACACTTCCATTTCAGTCCTTCACAGCTACCTGGCTGGTTATTTTTAGATTATCACCACTAAATTCAAAACCAAGGCCTGCAACTGAAACATGAAACTGTACTGGAGGCTTACAAAATTCAAGGTAGAACCTCCAGAAGGTTTATTCAACTCTGTTCACCAGTGGCCTGTGAAGTGACAAGCACATAATGTCAGCTGGAGGTGTAGCATTCTTTATGTGGCACACAGAGTTTATTCCTCTCTCTAAGGTCCATTGTCAGAGTGAAATTTCCATGGCTTACACAGAATTAATCAGTTTTTTTTCCTTGTAAACATACATGTGTACAGAGAAGGGGATTCTTCTCTGAAAATGCAATCAGTGCTTTGGTAATGAAAGATAGCCTGAGTTTTTGTCCTAAATATGCCTTACAACTAAGAGGTTTTCTTTTGATTATACCTGTCACTGGCTTCTTGAAGACTGGATCTTCATCCTTCTATACACATAGGCCTCTCCTCTGATAATGTCCTTTATCCAAGGGCAGGGATCTGTGCTTTTTGCATGATAGCTTCCAAACAAATGATTTGATGGAGACAGCCAACTTAATGGCAAAACACTCTCTGGTCTGCAGAGCTGTGTCTGTTCATCTGTCAGATCTGTGCCTGTTGAAGAAAAGTGAGGATTTCTGCCTGTAACAGCACCTAAGGCATCAGCTCAGACTTTGAACATCTATATCCATAAAGTCAGAAAAAATTTCCCCTAAGTCCAAAACACACACTCATTTTTTGCCCCTTTGTGATCCACAGCAGGTATTCACAGCACCTGACCTGCTGTTGTAATTTTTATAGATGAAATGTTGATGACCACCCGAAGGGTGTGACCCACAATGGCGCGAAATACTGAGCCCAAATAAAAATCAAATTGTGGGTGTGAGGTTATCAGGAAATTGATATAAACCAATATAAAGAAATGCTGGAGGGAACACTAGTAATTTTTTGTCAAGTCTTCCCAGGAAAATGTTGAGCTAGGTCAATATCTTGCAGAATAAATACTGCAAGAACACACGTTAAACAGCTTCTACAGTGAAACAGCCAAAAGCAGATCAGATCAGTTCTATGAGCAGAAATTAAACTGACATCTATTTGTCTGCAGCTCTCTCAGCTAACACTGGAGGCTTGGGGGTTTTGTGTATGAAGCACTCACCCAAAATGCAAATGCAAAGATACCAAAAAACTTGTTGTTCACAAGTGCAGATGGGAGCCGTCCACAGGTGCAGATTAATATAAACCCTGCTCATTCCTTCACATGCATGGGCACACACGGAAAGGGAATGCATCCAGGCTCTGCAGAGCCACACATCCTTCCAATGAGCAGATGAGACTGTTACCAGGAGGATTTATTACCGAAATTTGGCAGCAGGAGTCTTTTCTGATAGAATGTTATCCAGGCTGCATTTCCCTGGGAGGAGGTGCTACATAGCGTGGAGGTTCTTCTCCCAACAGGCACAATCTAACAGATTATCTTTCTGAATCATTAAGGGAACGCAGCGGATCTTATTAAGGCTCAGGTATTGGCTATCAATGGGTTACGATTTAGGCTAGGAAAGGGAGAGCACTTAATTTTTGGAAAAAGGGCCCAAGCTGAAGCAGCAGCTCATGGAAGGCCAGTATCCCTTGAGAAGGTCATTTTCACTGTATCAGCAGCCTGCCTCCCCTTACTATTTTTTGTCTACACACAGCGAAATGTTCCTACCTCACAGTGACACTCGTATTTTTTTATCCAGCAGAAGCATAGCTTATTGTTTCAAAATGACATCTTTTCCTTCTTGCTTTAGAAGTGCCTTTTTATTTTGGAAATGTTCACCGCTGAACTGATTTAAGAGAGAAGGAAATGCGGAATATTGCACTCACCTCTTAAGCACCAGGCAGGCAGCCTCCACCTCCTCAATCCATCAGTACAAACGCTCGCATCCACTGACGCCTCTCCTCTGCTTTGGCCCTTTTTCACATCAGCATCTGCGATTTGCCGAGCAGACACACCACGACCGCAGGGACTAGCCCCGCAGCCCCGGCAGGAGCAGGAACCTGCCCTTTCCCATCTTCTCCCTGGAAAACACAACCGGAAAAACCCGGGCCGTTCTGAAGGCGGCAGTGGGAGCACTTGTCCGGCGGCCCCCCGCGGGAGACAGGGAGGTGCTCCGCGCTCTCGCCGGGGAGCCGGGCAGGGGGAGCGCGGCGCTGGCGCTGGAGGAGGAGCCGGAGCCG